GACGTGCCTCAACATCTGAGACCCTGAAGAAGCTGCGGTTGTCTGTGGATGTTATGGGTGAGGAGGGGGCTGTCTTAGAGTCACTTGCAGAAGTTGTGGCTGTAGACGCTGCGGGTGCAGACGGCAACCGAGACTGTGTGAATTGCTTGAAAAGTTGCAAGGTGAGACGAGACTCTGGAACACGGGGGGGTGTGGACGTCGAGGACGTGTCCTGGGAGGTGTCCGAGGACAAGGACTTGACAAGAGTCTTCATTTGAGGTCTATGCCTTACTGGTGGAACAGAGAAGATGTGATCACGAGACTCAACGTCAGAGGACCAAGACTTGGCCAAACTTGGAAAGAGTTTTTCTGTTGATGGAAAGCTAAGAGATTTAGATGGAGGTGAGTTGGGAATTGAACCTTTCTGTTCAGCAGTGTGCGATGATGTCACTTTTTCAGGAGACCTGGACGTTTCTAACCCAGTTGTGGGAGGAACTCGGGATGTTTCAGGAATAAAAGCAACCTTGGTTGCGGAGTCAAGTGTCACCTCTTCAAACATCTCCTCACTGGCTTCAAGGGCTGTCACAACACTGGGGTCACCCTGAGCAGCTGAGGTAGTGGGGGCTGTGGTAATAACAAGCTCATCCTCTCCTTCATCCTCGTCCCCCTTCCCAGAAGCGGTGAAGTGAATGGTGATGTTCTCCTTTGACTGAGGTCGAAGCACATGGAGCTTTGGGGCCACGGCAGGCGGCTGTTTGGAATGAACGCTCTCTGCATGGCTGGGATGGTGGCTGGTCATTGCAGTGCTCCCACTGTATGACAGTCTGCAGAAAAAGACAGGACAGTGAATTGGTCATACGAAAATAAAAGTCTGTCCAGCCTACGTTGACTTCTGTTCTTCCACTATCATTTTGTGAAATGCATTACTGTCAACAAAACTAATGCCAGACCTATGACTTATTATTGAGATATAAAATCATTGCAGTCACTAAGACTTCCATGTAGGGTCAACAAGAGACTGGAAGAATCATAGTTGACATTAACATCGTCTCCATTAGTGTCTCCACCGTGCTCACCGTTCACAGTTAAAGCTTCTGATCTGCCAGTCGACATCCAGCTAGAAATAATTGATTTGCAATGTGACGCAGATTTGAAGGGCAAATTTGCCTCCATAGGTCTGGACACATTTTATCAGTATCTATTACCAGGGTACCCCAAATTAACAGCCTGTTTGGGACAACCTACCTTTGTGTAGATAAAGTAGATAAAGTTCATTACTATAATATTCAACACCAGTTACTTGTTAAAGTTTGTGCAATTTTGTGAAATGTTTTGTAAAAGTGTTATTCAATAAATTTTAAGTTAAATTTCAAATTTCATAATGTTCTTGTGCTTCTTTACACCAAAACAAAGGAAATACATGATATTTTGGTTATTTCTAGCTAAGTATGCTATAATTTTAATGGTCCGGCCCGCGACGTCTTCCTAGGGGTCGTATGTGGCCCGCGATGTGAAATGAGTTTGACACCCCTGGTCTAAAATATCAGTACAACACATCACTTCCTGTGCCTGCGGCTCCATGGTGCTGAGGGTATTTTTGCAAGTCATTCTGCCTATTGTTTTCTGCCAGTACATCAGCATGTGCTGAAACCCCACTGAGGAGCTCAGATGTCATCACTAACTGTTTCAGATGACATCAGTGACTTAGAACGCTGCATGTGGAAGAACAGAGATTTAAAAATATAAGGTAAAAACATCATGACCAGCACATACATACAGAAAGGAGGTGCTTATTAGCTCCCTATGGAAAAACATCCAGAAATCCCACTCTCCCTGAACCTGGTTGCCATGTTAGGGATTAGGAAAAGTGTCTATTTGGAACCCAGTTGTTTGTCTACTGTGTTAATGGCTGTGTCTTACACTAACGGTGTTCCTAATGACAAGCTAAGTGTCTGAAAGCGCTGTCCTCACACTAATGTGCCGTTTCACACAACAGCTGTGGTTCAATAGCCCCCCAATCCCCCACCCCACTCAACTACTGCTGCCAAACTGTGTCTTTAGTGTGTGAATGATTTTCTATATAAAAACACATTTAAGTCTAGGTTATCCTGTCATTCTTATTCTTATTCTCATGTCAGAAGTGTCAACTGTGGAAAATGTTCTTGGGGAATTTGGATTTGAAAAAGTAATTTCTGTTGACTTAACGCTTTATAGGTCTAATTAAACACACATGACGAGAACAGATAAGGCATATACACACCTGGTCACACCACAAATTGGAGATTATAGTGGTTTGTGTTGCATTGGTGTAAAACAAGAACTCACTTTAGCAACAGCAACAACAACAACAACAACAGCAACAACAGCAACAACAACAGCAACAGCAACAACAACATCCCTGGGTTTGGAATGTTGTCTAAAAAGATTATAAGAGTGAAACAAGCCACGCATGTTATTGGTCAGTGACTGTGTGACATGTCTCTTGGTGGTGGTACTGTATGGAAGGAAACTGTAGTATTTCACTATAATGAAGTGATCTGAGATAACGAGCCAATAACAGAAGGACGTTTCCTCTGGTCTTGGCCCAACACGGCTGTAGAGCGAGAGTGTGAGAACTGGTGAATGTGACTCACAGAAGACTTTCAGATTTCAAGTTCAGGGATAAATAAACAACATCAGCCAAACAGAACTGGAACTGTTCTCAAGAATGCTGACAAACTAGTGCAACAGGCAGGGACTAAAGTGTTAGCCAGTGACATCACTGTGGGTAAGAATAGGCTGCTAACGCTCCTCTGCCAACTGGAGCAAACTTAACTTCAGATCAATACCTGGACTAATGGCTCAGGTTGAAATAGAAACCAACAAAAAACATTCGGATGTAAATTTAACAAACCACTCCTGAATAAATTTAGAAGGTGTCAAGTGTTCATCGGGAAACATCATAAGGATACAAGGAAAGTCATTCTAAAAGCTACTACTTTGTCTTTTTGTTTGTATTTTCTGTGGTTTTACATTCTTTTAGAGCTGACACAAATTCAATAATATGGGGGTATGGCAACTTGGTGCAGTGAAGCCACTGTGTCTGCTTAGCTTCCTTACTAACAACAAATCCCATATAAGCTTCTGAATGGGGGTCTATTTAAAAGCCAGTCCTAAGTGGATGGTTCAGCTGGTAAAAACCATTTCAGTTGAACTGTTGCCTTACTTCCTGCAGCTCGAAGTTCCAGCTTTGTGGATTAAATGGTGAAAACACCACGGCCCACAGAGAACATGTGACAGGCTACTCAACAAAACTAGAAATTAAAGACAAAAATATGATTTTCTCTTCTAAGAAAATGATCGACTTCCTGTCACACTAACGTGTGGTTGCTAACGTACAAGCTCAGCCTGTCACCAACCATGTCAGTCCATCCACTTGACATTTGTTCAGTTAGTTCATGTTAAATAATTCATTCTGCACTTAACTACTTAACTACTGCTCAACAAGATCTCATTATTTTTGTATGAACTCTTTGGCTGCCGTGTCAACATGTAAGTCAAGCGTTGCTCCGTTTCCTAATCCTATTAGAGACTCCATGAGTCTGGAGACAGTTGTTCTTATCTCTTTTAAAATTATCTCTTCATAAGTACGACAATTGACTAAACCTTCAATGAGCTTCTGACTTGCTTCCAGGTTTATACAGCTGTTTAAACCAGGACCTCTGTGTAAAATAACAGCTGCCTGGGATTCATTCATCTTTGTCCTCCAGTTCCTGTTGGTCCAGGGTTAAAAAGGTACAAATATCAGGAGAGCAGCCTGAGTTAAGGTAATCTTTGGTACCATCGTATGAACATGGAAATGGTGTAAACTAGGCCACAGTACTGAGATGAATGACACAGGCCTGAAGGGCAGCCATCTGGTCAAATCTCATCCAAAACAGAAATCTACTTCCTGTTGTGGTGACACAAAAAATCTTCTATTTTTCATACAGCTCTAAAAATAAAATTAATATGTGAGACAAGCGCATTTATTACACATCTATGCCAATTATAGTTCACACACAGGTTATCAACAATCACGCAATTTCAAAATAAAATCCATTATTAAATTTGGCAGCAAAAGTTCTTCAGTTCTTAGTTCTCCATGCAGTCAAAAATACAAGTACTGCAGTTTTTTTTTTTGCCAAACAGTGCAAACAGACGTCGTGACTGTTGACTGAATTGTCTGGTATATCATTGTATATCAGACCCTGTAAAAAAATGACAAAAAAAGAGACAGTTTTTGTTTAGCAGAAGACGGAGACTGACTCCTCATTCAGGGCCAAACTTCTCATCAGATAATAAAAGCACTGCTGTTCATGCAGTACATGCACAGAATGATTTTGTCTTCTTGTGGTTTTTTGCACCCCCAGGATGCTTCCAGCAAATGCACTGCACTTTTGTGAATGTCTCAGTTTCGAGAGAGCAAAAACTCCTTAGAAATATTTTTAGGCAGGCTATTTTCACACCCCACCCACACCCCTCCCACCTCGGTCTTCTGGTAACAAGTACTTATTATCTAGGTAACAGAGGCGAATAATACTGTCAGCTCACAGAGAAGACAGAACCTGAAGTCAGGCTGGGCTGACGGGTGGACACGTTCTCCTGACGCCTGTGGTCGAGCGCTGGTCATTACTGGACCAGTGAGGTTTCAGCCTGTCAGATATAACAGGGATTTATTTTTGGTACAGGTGGCTGTCGACACAGAGCTGGTTCCTCCACTGTTATTACTGGAACAGTGTTCTATCCCTTTGTCATTTCTCTCTATGGCACAAAATTGTTCAATGTAGAAAGGTAAAACAAAAAAAAAAATTCTGAAAAAGTCGGTCCTTTCTTTAGGTGAAACAAATACTCACATCTTTATTTCACACTCCAAAGAGCCAACTCTAAAGTAAATCCAAAAAAGGCCATGCAATCGAGAATGGGTTTTTGATCCTAACCTTGTGCCACCTTTACAAAAGAAGGGTCAGTTTTAATACTTGTCAATGTATTCATTGTATTATTTAATACAATACAATGTCTATCAATGAAAGGCTGCAGATTATTTATTACATATCTATATCTTATAGTAATGTATCAGATCGTTGATGTGTATTGTGTCGCCAGTTTCTTGCCAAGCCCTAATGTTAATTAATCACTATGAATATGAATAAAAAAGATAACATACTACAGTATGTTGGAGATCATGGCAGAGTTTGGGTTTCCCTCAGGACAACGTCAGGCCTCACTCTTCAAAAGTTACAATTTGTGTTTGTGTTGTATGTGGGCTTGACTGGCCGGTCTGCAGACTAGATCTGGTCTATAATGAAATCATCAAATCAAAAGAAGAAAACTGAGTCAAATGTTGATCATAGGCTGATGAGACAATGAACTATTTTACCAGCAACATATGAGAAGATAACTGCATCGGAATTTTCCATTAGAATAACATCTTCATCAAAGACCTGACAATGCACTTCCTCTGATCGTTTCACCAGTAATCTGTACAGTGTACTACAGTACAGTAACAGCAATAACCTACCTTACCAGGTACTCCGAATACCACACTCTGTAATCATGTAGACTGGAAAACAATCTAAAAAAACCCATCAATCATCAGGCTTATTCACTTTGGTTTAAAACAGCGTGAGATGACAGCCTGTACACATCAAAGGCACTTCAATGAGTCCAAAGAAGATTAAAGTATCATCTGTCAGAAACACAACTGAACAGGAAAGACTTGAACGTTTTGAACCGACTGAGTCAGAGGTAGAAACAACAATGGTAGAAAATTATTATTAATATACAAATACGTACAACCTAATAGTACTGTCAAAATACACAAACACAGCAGTGACCAGTGAACTGGACCCCTGGGGTACGTCTGACACGGCATATCCTATTTGTAGAGTGAAGAATATTTCGAATTTAGTGGAAAATTATTTTGCCGGAACAGGTGGCCTGTGTGTGGTGACAATGACACAAGACATGGAATAATCACACCAACCTGAGCTGATCTGACATTTCAAAATATGAGTTATTAATAGACTGAACCTGGAGAGTCAGAGCTGCGGACAGGTGCACAGTCAACAAGGGTCATCCATGTCCTCCTACACAGACAATGATAAGGAACACACAGGGGAGTGTGTGTGTGTGTGTGTGTGTGTCTAGGCTGAAAGAAAATCAGAGATGACAAAATTCCGTGAATGAAAGTCACAGCCAGTTCCTGTTTCACTGCATTACTCAATGATCAGCTAAAGATTCTTAACTGTTGAATTCAGAACTGTCAAAAAACAGTCACCTTTTTAACTTTCTGCACTGACAGGAAACAGAGGCCCTGATCCTCCCCACATTATTATGATGCAGTGTGGGCTGGGCTGCCGAGGTGTGACATCACCCATCACTGCACCTGCCTATCAAACCCAGAGCCTCTTTTCCTGTTCCTCACAGGATTCAACAGCATTCTGCTTTTCTTTTCTCTAATGAGCGCTCCCTCCTTCACGTTTCTCTGTTCTAATAGGACAGTTTCTTTAAATCTTGCATTAACTAATTAAATTCCACTCATTTAGTTTCATTTATTTTGCTTAAATCTTAAAATGTGTTTTATATTATTATTAAAACCCTTTCATATTTGTGCATCTTGTTATCTGTAATGCCTCTCTGCCTGCGCACAGCAGTGGGCCTAACGATTGCAAGCAGTCAAATTAATTAAGTGCAAACAACTGGTAGAGTCTCAATTAGCGTCAACTGCCTGGACTAATGTGTGTGTGTGTTTTTGGGGGCGGGGCCAGGGGCAGTGTGTCAAACTAGTGTTCTATGTAAAATCTCACACGTCAGTAGGAAGACACCATCACAGAGTAGATGTTTCACTATAGCCGGTTTTCAACCAGCAACACTTTTTTTTTTACTATCCCAGCGAGCGAGAAATACTTCATATATTTTTACCTCCAGAGTATTTCCTACATGTTTTAGCAAAATAAGGTTCTTAACTGGCTGTAGGACTGTGGGTCCTTGACACCAGGCAGGGGGGCAAGTTTCATTACAGCCCCTCAGCAGAGATAGAATGTAGGAAACCAAGCAAAAATCACAAATCACCAAGTTGGTGAACACACCATTTACACCATCAGTGTAGTGTAATGATGCAGAGTACGGTCTTCACAGGCTAGGCCAGTGTTTCCCAAAGTGTGGGGGACGTCTCATGGGTGGGACATGTGAAAAGTTTTAGGAGGGGGACAGAAATTAAGGAGACAAAATATAAATGGACAGTGTCACATCAGTGACCACCCCCAGGACAAAGATGTTGAAGGAGGTTCAGGTTTGAACTGAGGGTGGTTGTTTTTAATATCAACACTCTAGTATTTGTCCCATAGTGGAGAATTTGCTACAAGTGGTCATTTTCTTTATGCTGTAGTTTTACAGGAAATACAGTGAAGTTCAGTGGAGATTTGAAGCAGGAGGCGACACATGTCCTTTCTCCAGAGTCAGGCAGAAATTGTTTATCTGAATGGTTTTGTATCTGTGCTGTGGGTAAATGAACCTGAAGGGTAAACACTGTATTCTTACCATTTAACCTGGAGGTTATTCTAACCTCCAGGTATCTCTGTGATTGGATAGAGACTGTTTTCTACAGTTATCCAGGCTTTACTTTTTAATATGTGAGGTTCCTTCCACTTCTTATATTAGCTCAGACATCTCCATGTTATTGAATCACTGATGGTTAAAGCCAACCTTCTAACATCTCACATTTTGAGCTCTGTGCTGAAATTAACTTTAACGATAACCTCCAGGTATCTCTGTGATTGGATTAGACCTAATCCCATTTTAGCTTCATGGCTAAAGCTAACATAAAACATTACACAAAGGAAAGTGAAAAGTCTCTTGATATTTTTAAAACCTTTTTTTTGTTTCTTTTCGTCTCTCCCTATCAGAGCTCTACTCAGTGGTCTGCTGCTCTCCCAGCTCTCTCTCTCTCCCCCTCTTTCTTCCTCTCTCCCTCTCTCTCTCTCCAGTTGTCTGGACTTTGCTTTCACTAAGGTCGTTTGTAGCTCAGGAAGCCGATCGATAATGAGTTTAAATTTACTGGCAGAGTGCTTACCTTGTATCCTCAGTGCCATTCAATCCAGCCTGGGACTATCATCTGTGTACTGCGGAGTCACGTTTCACATGTGCATGATGCTCAGGGCTCTTCTATGAAACAGTGATAGGAAAAAAAAAGGCACATTTGTCCATAAAGCATAAATAATCATCAATTTAGACCAAACTGAAAACAGTTAAGACACATGTTTCCTACTTCACAATGTCCTTTGACTGTGTTGTGTGTGTTCTTTTCTTGAAAACTGATATACAATTCAGTTTGTCTGAACTATAAATCACATTGATTGTATCAGATTCAGGACAGGACGTGATCTTTCCTCGCAATGATTCTCCACACAGAGATTCTCCACACTTCATCACCACAATGTAAAGACACCATCCTGACACCAACTACCAAAAAACATAACCTGCCGATTGGTATTAATAAATAAAAGATGGAGAATATTTTTTCTGGTCTGGCCTTCAGGGGGCAGTGGTAGGTACGTCTTCACACCTCACTGTAGATGAATCTCCTCCCTTGTCTTACCAGAAAGACTCCTAGTTCTCCTCTATTCTGTGCTGAGTCACTACTCCCAGCACATGTACAGCCAGCTGTTTCATTAGCACTGTGTGTGTCACCATAACAGTAACAATGAAAGGACAGTCAAAATGTGCTTCTGTTAGACTTCTGACACCTTCTCTTTTAAGGATCAGGAATGACTTCATGATGATTCCTCAATTCCGTTGTACCCCGTGTTACAATGAATGTCAGAAATGTTTTGGTCACTCAGCAACTTCACATGTCATAATATTCGGATGTGCTCAAACCGTCAGAGGTTCACATTTTATGTGATGTTTCTTCACTTTCTTGACACGTGAAAGTCACAAAATAATAAGTTGATCAGGTTAATATGAATGTAAAACAATTTTCAATACTATTACTAATACAATACTTTTTGTTAGACAAATTAAAATTAGGTTCCACCTTGTGACCGCTAAATGTTTCCCACATCGTACCATTCAAATATATCCTTTGTATTATTACTGAATGAAACCCAGCGATCCTACTCAGGACATGCATTTGACACAAATTCTTTAACCAAAAGTTACCTTAAGCCAAAGGTACTAAGTGGTACGCATACCACAGTTTGAGAACCACTACTAAAACATAGATTTCAACTAAAACATTTAACCTTTCCTCTGAATTAGTAATAGCATAAGTCGACATAAACGACATAAAACGTGTGTCCAAAATGTCACATTTAGCGATTTTACCACGTCATCGTGTTTTATTTCATAATCGAGCTGATTAACTTTGACTAGTTGGTGTCTCGCACACGTTAAACAAACGTGTTTCTTTCTTGAGTGGTTTTGTAAGAGTGTAAACCTGACTCATGTGGGCTAATAATCACGCCAGATTAGTGTGGACAGACTTTTCAAGTGAAATCGCACAGCGAATGGTGAAACCAGCCGGTCTTGTGATAAAGACATAACGTGCTAACTACGTTTATTGGGACACATCTCAAACCTTAAGCTGAATATAACTCCATGTTGGTACATTTAACGCAACAGACACAATTAGCCTTCCATATGGCTCATGTGGTTCCGGATGTCAATTTTGAGGTCTTTCCTGACGGAGTTTATCGTCAGCAAACTCACAGACTGTACCAAAAAAAGACAAGTAAAAACAATGCTCACCAAAAGACACGAATTTCATGGTCGCCGAACAATAGTCAACTTCCGAAACAAAGCACAAGCTTGTTCCCAGTGAAGGCAAGCGTTCACTCGTGACGTTAGTCTTATCACAGTTTGAGCGAATCCTTTTCTCGTTCAGCCTGTTGACAACTGTAGAGTGGAGCCAGTTTTCCAGGTCTAGGCCAGAGCAATCGAAACCAAGCGATCAGGGTCGGGCGACAGCATGGACGTGTTCGATTTAGCGATATATCTACTGAGCATGTCTGTGAGTGAAGGAACCAGATGTGAAAAAGTAAACAGTGCAAAATGTAAATAAGGGAAAAAACAGTGACTAGAAGGAAATCGGTATGTGGTATATAAATACAATATATATATTTAAATATTGCTTTTACTATTTCTTTATGTTTTAGGAAAGTTATACGATTTTTAAAAAGATGATTTACGTCATTTACGTAGTATTTTGCTTATCTCTAGAGCTATTCAGTGTAATCCGGGTTATTATTTGACTAATGCTATTACGTTATTTTGAAAGTCCGAGTCCGCAGTCAAGCGTAAAGACATTTATCTGAATTACGAGATCTTCGTCGATAGTGAGGAATGACGGGTTTTTCTCGTTAAATAAAATACAAAATTGTACACACTGCAAATGTAAATTTGCAGTGAAATGTACCTGGTGTCAAACATCATATTTTTTCATTATATTCACAGAAAAATGCAGTTGAAAACGGGTGTCACTGATTTTAAATAATCAGTTTCTAACAGGAAGTAGAATAGTTTTACTTCTTGTTTTTAGTAAACAATATATCATTTATTGGCTCACAGTCAACGATGGCTAACTCAGTTTGTATCAGTACAGACTACAATGAACACAATAGACCACCAGGATTACTGCTTTACTCACCTAAAAAATGTGTCAGGGTTTTATTAAACCTGCATAAATAACTTGTGAAGAGGTATAAATATAACTAAATATAAAAATCCAATACATAAACAACGTGTACACATAAGTACATATCATAGCCCCAAATGATAGATCAGCAGTTCCCAAACCTTTAGGCTGTCAGCCCCTTCTGTATCCCAACCAGGTCGACGCACCCCCAATTCTGTATACCTTAAAAAAAAAAAAAAAGACACACACTCATATATACACGTAGATTGTATGGATTTATTGATTAAAATGTCAGCGTTTGATTTGAAGTTTTACAAAGGAAATCCCACTCAATAAAAGCTATCACATTTATACCTCACGTACTCCCCAGGGGTGCTCGCACCACACTTTGGGAATCCCTGTGATAGATTATTAGTATAGCCACAATATACTGTATACACATTGATAAGCCTCAATAGTTTGAAGTACAAAAATTCATCTAATCAAACTGTGTTTTATTAGATGATTGCCTTTTGCAGCAGAAGAAAGTTAAATATTAAAACAATTCCACTTATTGACACAAAGCCAGTTTCAGGTTCCAGTCCATAAAACCTGTTTGTTCTCATCTCCTGTCACTAACGGCTTTTATAAATCTTTCATTTCACCTTTTTTTTCTTTATTAGACACAGCTGCTGAAAGTCCACCACAGAAATTTCCAAAAATGTTAGTGATGTGTTCTTCTTCTTCTTGTACAAAATATATTGTAAACAGCCCTACACAAGAGCACTTTACTTTATTTAGAAAAATTATGATTAGCAAAATAATCACTGGGATATGTTAAAGAGCACTTGAAATTAGTGGGAAAAAATACAAACATTCATAACACAATAATTTTTTCAATGGACAGCAGGTCAGATCTAGCCATTCCGGCCTGGCTTATTGTACATAGGTCTAAATGTATGGCCCATTATTATACATTTGGACATACATTCCATCTGTAGACATTATACATTTTTACAAATTAATTAACTTCATTTATTCAGTTTTGTTTGATTTTCATTCAGAGCTGCCGACAGATGTTTGTGAGGCCAAGTCAAGAACTGGAGCCAGATTTGGAGTCAACTTCAAGTTCTGTGTTAACTGACTAGTAGCACTTAGAGATTCTTAATTATTTACTGTTTTTTAACCAGGAAGTTTCAAAAAGAAAATCTCTTTTACAACAGAGATGTGGTTTAAATAGCAGCCAATCAAAAAAATATTAAATACAGATTTAACATTCAAAAACTAAATGTAATTAAATCTATTGACTTTCTAGTTTTAATTATTCATAATTTACCAAAATAATAGTTTTTGAAACAATTAAGTAAAATTTAATCGTCTTCAATGTGATGAACTCTCACGGCACACTGACGTGCTGCGGTACAGAGGTTGGGAATCATCACAGTTAATATACAATACAATTTTTACTGTCAATAGGCAGAAATGAGAAGTTAGTGAGAAAAATATTTTTGTTTATGACTCTGCACCAGCCATACTGGACCAAATGTTTGAAGTCTTTGGTCAACGGTCACTTGGTGACTGCAAACAACAGAGCTCTGTGTGAATTCACATTTTATGTATGAACTCTGTCGAACAACAATTTGATGGAGAAGGCGACGTCCACAGTGTAAGCCAACAGTGTGACACTGGCAACAACCGTCTCCATGATGACCAACTGTGAATTTGGTTTTTGGAAGCCTATTGTGTATTCTTTCAGCTGCAGGATCTTGGTGAAACAGATCACAGTGGCCACCATGTAGAACAACACGCCCATCAGACTGAAGCTGGCCATGAGTCTGTCAAACGGCAGGAAGCATCTGCCGGCACAGTCACTCAAAATGACCACAAGTGTGATGAGACCCAGGAGGAGGCAGACGCCGTAGGCCACCGCCGTGACCCATATCTGCCAGTTACCTATTTGAGACAGACCGTAGGCCACCTCTACCACCAGGGGCATCATCTGACATCCTCCCCACAGTTGGAGAATCTTTAAGAGACCAGGCGTGCTTCCCATGTAGCCTCGTTGTTCTTGGACCCGGGTGCGAAGAATGCAGGACTCCGAAGCGTACAGCAGGCAAGTGAGCCAGGAACCTGATGCTGCTGCTACGGAGTGTGGCGAGATCTTCTGATAACTCTCTATGATAACAATCCACAGGAAAATCACGGAGGTGCTGAGGTTCATCAGACTGCCCAGGACCGCCACAGTCATGGTGAGGTTCTTCCAGGACACTGGGATCAGGTTGTGGAACTGGATGATGCTGAGAATGTGGAGCAGGAGAGTCACGGTGAAGAAGAAGCACCAGGTGAACATGCAGAAGATCCTGAAGGTGGCGTGGTGATGGCGGTCGACTGAAGACGTGTTCACCTCTGATGAGTCCAGTGAAGCCACCAGACTGAAGGTGGTACAAGTGGACAACACTTCCAATGTCCTCACCATAAAGAGTGGTGTGACAAAGTCTTTGGCCTCCAGCACGATCACAGGCATCGTTGCAAAGATGGAACGGAGCAGCAGCAGCGTGCGAACAACAGTGGAACAGTGTCTGTAATATCCAGCAGATGTTTTCTTCTCCAGTCCAGACCAGAACAGAACAGCTGAAAGCCTGGACAGACGCCTCTCTCTGAGTTTCACCAGCAGCCCATCCTCTGGTCCAAAGTCAAACTTTTTAAATTCCGATTCTCATAACATGCAGATATTTGGACCTTGTTACTGTTACTACAGGCCTCGCCTACTTCCTTTTTCAACATGCAGAAGTGTTTCCCTTCCTCGCTGGAGGCAGGTGCAAATGACCGCAATAAAGAGCAAATGCAAACAAAGCATGAGATCCTCCCACTCGTAAAACATTTCTCATGAATTGTTCTTCTTTTTGCCGAAAGAAAGAAACTAAACACATTTCAATATGTAATCCTTCTTCATCCAGTCTCAGACATGAACTACAGTCAAAGGCAGCATCACTCACAGCACTTTAATTGTTAATCGTCCATGGAGAATTTGTGTCCAGATTTAGTGTTGAGTGAAATCTTTGGTTGTAAAAATGATAGTTTCAGCTGTCGTCTGGTCACAGCTGACAGCTGTTTCACAAAACAGGAAATCAGTGATCATCATCTGCAGATCATCATCTTTGCAGGTGAATTCACTGTCTATACGAATGTAGATCTACGCTGATGAAGAAAAATAAATTTAAAAAAAGAAACTCAGGGAGAGCTTTTTTAAAAATGTTATTCCTCATTTATGGTGAAGTCAATAATTATGATATTCAGATGAAGGTGATGGGTCAAGGTCAAGATGAAATAGAGGTTAGCCCAAAATACGGGTTTACTTAACTTTAGAAAAACCTTAGTAAAACGTTAAACGTAAAAGACTAGACAGAATAGCCCAAACTCTCAGTGATGTTAAACAAACAGCAACTAGGATAATATTTTAGATAAACATTTACCCGAATGTATAAAGAGAAGAGCAACATTAAAAAAAAAGTAGTCTTGAACTTTAATGAGTAGTGTGTGGATTTGGCGCCCTGTAGTGGTACACATTATTAATTGCATTTGGAAAGTGAACTACTTGTCATTGTGACGCCACTGCTTTTAACCATCAAGGCCGCTTTAAGTGCCACCTCAGGTAACTTGACAGTTGGTGAACTCGAACCTTAAACCTTCCGGACGTAAGTCCGCTTCCTTAAACACCAACGACCTCTGCCCACCTAATACCACATATAACCACATATATAGAACTTTAGTATGCACACACACACACACACACACATATATATACATATACAGTATACATATAAATATATATACATACAGTTTGTACACATGTATAGTGAATATAAGTATAGACCTACTGTATATTCACTTTTATTAAACTGACCTCTGAATCATTTTTTGGGATTATGGGACTGACTGATGGTGAACATACAGTGGATTCACTCTGACGTATTTACCATTTTATGAATTCCTGTTCTAAAGCTGTGGTACACAACACTTCTGTTACTGTGGCTCCCTTTAGTGGTAAACAGTGGAATCTTTTTTAAAGGTATATTGCTGAGTGTGTTTCTTTGGCTGATTAACAGGCTCATCTTCTTGGAGAGGCAAAACTTAAAAAGTAATACTGGTCATGAAGTGGTCTTCTCTTCAAGGCTGAATCGATGGTTAAAAAGTAATACTGGTCATGAAGAGGTCTTCTCTTCAAGGCTGAATCGATGGAGGCCCAGACGGAGATGTGTGCAAGATTGTTGTTGTGTCTTTAAAAAAATATAAAACAGCATGAAGACCCTCTCCTCACTTTCTCCCCACTCTCCTTCTTGCTGTTATCAAACAATGCCCCCCCCCCCTCCTCTCTCCAGCTTACTTCATCCGTACGCCTGCTTTCCCAAAACAGGTCATCTCAGTTCTTCAACTTGACAATCTCCTGCTGGCCTGGCTTATCCACACCACATTCCTTTCTCCTTCCCTTACTGGGAGAAGAAAAGAGACAGAGACAAGGGGGATTTGCCTCACGGTAGGTAGCTGTTTTATGTGAAGCATATGAGGAAAAAAGAGAAGAAAAGGATGGAAGCTCTTTTTGGGGGTTGCGGCTTGGCAAAGAGAGCGAGGAGCCCACTTGAGAAGCAGCAGGTCTTAGCGCTGGATGATTTGTTTGGAGAAGCCCACCCCAGCCAGGAGGAGGATTAGCTGCACACAGGTTCCCATGGAACCCAGGCGAGCTGGAGGGGGCTGTCAGAGGGCAGGGCCCGGACGGGGCACGGACATGTATGGATGGAAACATACATGCAGTAAAGTGTGTTTCTGTGTCCAGATATAGCAGCAGGTACACACACACACACACACACACACACACACACCAGTGGTGCACAACAAAAGCTGATACAAATAATGAGCAGTTTTGACCAAACTCCAACTGATGTTCATTTCAGACATGAAAATAATATAAAAATGAAGTACAGCAGTAAAAATGACTCATTTTTCATCAGAATCATCTGAAATATCTACAGCATTCAATCTTTTAAAGGTTCATCGTTGGAAAACACTCCAAAGTGACTCGTGATTTTGCTGCCATCTGCTGGACAAACTAAATTACTATGTGTAAATGGATTTGCAAAAGCAAACAGGATGAACATTGTGGTGAAGTGGCTTTTAACAACGTATCACGGGGGTCGACAGCTTACCTGAGGTCAAAGGTCTGTCTGTCACAGTGTTGTTTTTAACCTTTGCTATATAATATATATATTATATATATATATTCCTCTCCAGATGGACAACACTGTGTCAGAATACAGCCATGTTACTTCCTGCATTACCCAGAACCACAGTGTAATTAAACATGGCTATTTCAAAACTAAACAAAAAAAAAAATAAAATAACTTCATTTTACAGGAGAGTCATTTTCTGTTTGTCTGAAATTAAGTTGTAAATTTTGCGTATAAAACTGACATGTGATGTACCAATCAACAGCTGTCGTTGTGATTCAAGGCTGATTGGAGTCATTTGGAGAAACTTTTCTCTTTTTGATTTTTTCTTCTTCTTTCTCCTAATGTTGCCTTTGCTTCAGTGGACTAGTCAAGTTGTGTCGGCGGATGTTTAACCGTCTTCTGTCTTCTCCAACCAGAGTCTCCGGTTTCACTCAAATCCTGGTATTGTGAAATACTGTAGCCGTACACACTTTCATGTCCCACGGCTGGACTCCCACGGTGACACGGCCGTCCCAGCAGCTGCTGTGACTCCCTGCTCCTCCCCTGTTCCTCCATCCACAGATCCATAAAGGCATTTCTGCTCCTTTTCATCATGGTAGTCGTACCACCCCGGTGGAGGGCTGAACAACTGGTAGCCCTCCTGTCAACACCTCCACGTACACGCCACGGTCCGCTCACTTTTGTCTTATGGCAAACATAGAGCAGATTAGCGTGCCAACGCTTCTCTTCCCAAATGCCTCCCACAGCATTAGCACGGGCTAAGTCAAGGGCGCACGTCAGACCCAGCTGTCAAGTGGAGGGAATTCCGAGTGCTTTCGCTCAAGGTCGCTCCCACCATTTGGAACAATGGCGTTGGGCCGTGGCTCCCACGCTAGGTGTTAACTTGGTATGGCTAACAGTTTAAATTGGAGGTGCAGGCATGTTTGACTGGGGGTCTTAGAGTGACCACTGCTCCACGGTCACAGCCGTGTGTGTGCGATTGTCACCTGTCACACAACGCAGCGGTCAGACCATGAGGTCACAGTAAAAAAAAAGAAAGAAAAGAGAGGTCATGTGACCAGTAGAACAGAACAGGAGCTGCTGACTGGGCAGATATATATAGACAGCAGTTCAGTTGTTTGGCCTTGAGCTTCATTCTTATTCTAAATGAAGCTTGAAGTATTTTAAAGAACATCTCTGCTCCATATATAAGTTTATGGAGATGGAAAAAAACCCAAAGCTCTTTCTCTACATCTGCTCCATTACATTCAAAATACTTTGTTGTTTCCATCAGAGAATTCCTTCAGAGTGGAATTCCTGGGTCAGCAGGTCGTCTGATCCTCAGGAGTGAAATCCAGCTTCATTCAAATGTTCTTTCAATATCAATCACTATCAACCAAGAACCATTTGGAACACACTGTAAGGACTAGAACAACGTCTGACGTGTGCTGGTGTTGGCTCCAAACCATGGACTGGTTCTGGTTCTATTGTACACATTATCTCAACTGACCAATGAGTGACTTTCCAACAGGTCAACTCAGTCACTAATAGATGAGGACACCTTCATTCATAATGGACATCCATTTATTTAACACATTATTTAGAACACTGAAGAAGGAAGTTTGGTCCTCGCCACCGTCGCCAAATGCTTTTTCATTTGCAAATGCAATTTTTGAAATTAATTAGCACTTTAAATAAAATTTAATATACCGTATTTTCCGGACTATAAATCGAGTATAAGTCGCAGTGCCCTCTAGCGGCTGTCAATGTGAAAATAACAAACATGTAAAATTATATATTTATTTATAAGTCATCAACCCAGACAAAGGATGAAAAAAGTGGGGCTTATAGTCCAGAAAATACGGTAATTGAACTGAATCCCAAGGAAATGAGACAGACTCACCGTCGTGCTGCAACGGATCAAAGTCGTTTTCTTTGCCTTATTGGTCGCAAACTCGGTATTAAGATGTTTGTACTCCAGTTAGGATGCAGTGACCTGTTCAGTGGGACACAGGACAAGACCACAGTGTCTGCTGTGACATGGAGGGTTAAACTTGGAAAAGCTTTGCTCAAAAGCTGGAATAGTTAAAAGAATTAGAAGTAGTTAAAAGGAATAGGCAAAAGGAAAGGTTGAAAGGAATGTTCTTTGAACCCTTTGAGGTTTGAACGTGTTTTTATTCTTGAAGATCCTTCCATTGGGATTATGTCTGGTGGTACCCTCAACCCCTGCAGGAGGTCCGGCGCATTTACATCCTAAGAATCAGATGTGCTCAGAGCATCAGTCAGAGATGTGAACTGTCTATATTTATTGGAATTTTTTTTAATTTGTTTGTTTTTTATGTGGCCTTAACATTGGCATGTCATTGATGCTAAATCATACATAACTAATGAATTTATATTTAATATTTATATTTATATTTAAAAAAAAACAAAACAACAAAAAACACCAGATTGCAGGTGCGAGGCCCCCTAGTGGCGTGAGGCTCTGTGCGACTGCACAGTTGACCCAGCCGATTCCATGGCAATTTCCCAGATTAATAATTCCATCATTTGGATTAGTCAAAGATGAAAACATGTGAGAAACACTGCCCTCTACCTGCTGTTGATTTATCTACTGTATCATAATTAATCATGATTAATCCATGTGATTAATCAGATTAAAATATCTAATTTTTAGTCAGCCCCAGTTAGGACATTGGACCAAAGGAAGGACAGGACAGGACACCGCAGGTGGTACACCATGGTACCGATCAAGGAACCGTGTGTTTGAACGCTGGTGAAGACCAAAGAGCTGCAGCAGGAGGAACGTGTCGAACATGGAAATTCTAATTGGTGGTTGAAGCGTCCGCACACTCCACGATCAGAGACGACAGGAGCTGCGTCTTTAAGGCTCTTTAGACAAAATCAACAGTTTCATGTTGATTGTAATTACAGTCAGCACGGTTGTACGCCAACATTAAAGGCGGAGAACACAGGCTACGTTTCAGACTCGTCATCCTCTTTCTTCACTTTATTCCAGTG